CAAGCACTGGCCTGAGAGCTGGATAGCGCGGCTTTTCTTACTACTGTGACCAATCTCGACTCAACAAGAAGCAACTTAAAAGAGGGAGGGAGGGTTTGTTTAGCTTGTGCTTCAAGGATAAATAGAGTCCATCCCAGTGGGGAAGACACAGTGATAGAGTGTGAGGTGGCTAGTCACATTCTGTCCATAGCCAGGAAGCTGAGAGTGGGCAAGAAACACGGCCATATGACCAAACCTAAAAATCCATCTCCAGTGGTTCACTTCTTCCAGCAAGGCTCCACCCCCTCCATGTTCCACAACCTTCCAGAACAGCACAACCAACTAGGGACCAAGTGTTCAAACACACGGACCTATGGAAGACATTCAACATCCAAACCACAGTAGTAAGAAACGTTTTAGAGTTTTAGGCGTGCGGGTGTGGAGTTTGAATCAGAAACATCCCCACGGCCCCAGGCATCTGAACTCTTGGTTCTCAGTTGGGGTTGCTGTTTTGGGAGGGAAGTTGTGTGGCCTTTCTGGAGGAAGGATGTCACTGGGGCAGGAGAGTCAAAGACCTGCTTCTAGTTTGCTCTCTCTGTGTCCTGCTTGTGGCTGAAAACGTGAGGTCTAAGCTTCCCGTTCTTGCCGCTGTGTCTGATACCCGCTGTCCCGCTGTCCCTGCCATATGGACTCCAAGGAGCTGTAAACCAGAATAAACTCATTCTTCTATAAGTTGCCTTGGCAACTTGCCCACATCAGAAAGATCACACAAACCTATTTATTTCTGCAGTTGCTTGTCACATAAAAGGTTTCAGAGCTTTGTCAAGGGTGGCCGTCCACACTTGCAGATCCAAAACCAAGCAGGCTGAAGCTGCCAGTTCCTAGGAGCCTGGACTACGGCGCAAAACCTGCTTTTTAAAAAAAAAAAATTTTTTAGCTTTTATTATGTGCTTAGTATTTAAGTCTGCTGCTCCAAAGATCAGTTCGTGAGAGCCCTACCCTTTCAGGGCTTGCTGCCTAGGTGAAAAACCAAGTAAGTAGCCAACTAGAGGAGCTTTTTCTAAGTGCTGTGACGTGAGTTCAGGGGAACGGAAAACGGAGCCAGGAAGCCAGGCTGGTGACTGAACTGGATCTGCCTGAGTCTGAAGTCCACATTTCTTCAGCAGTGTGTGCGTGTGTGCGTGTGCATGTGTGTGTGTGTGTGTGTGTGTATGAGAAAGAGAGAGAGAGAGAGACAGACAGACAGAGACAGACAGACAGACAGAGACAGAGACAGACAGACAGACAGACAGAGACACTTTCCAATGCAAGTCTGGCACTGTAGCCACTTGGCTCAGGAGAGTGGAGATTGCTAACCACGGAAAGCATAGTGGTTATTCTCACATCTCGATATTAGAATCAAGGTGATAATTTGGACAGTTTTCCTCAAATCATATTGTTATCCCGACTCCCCGAATCTCCTTTCCAGCCTGGAATACTTCTATCCAGAACAAGAACCCTCATCAACCATCACCACTGTGAGCCTTGGTTTGTTTGTTTGATTTTTTGAGACAGGGCTTCTCTGTGTAGACCTGGCTCTCCGGGAACTTGCGCTATAGACCAAGCTGGCCTCGAACTCACAGAGATCTGCCTGCTGGGATTAAAAGCACACGTCACCACTCCCTGGTTGCCACCTGCCTCTTAACTTACATTCCTCAAAAATCAGTTCAAATATTAGTTGTCCTGTGGCCACACACCTTTTCCTCTAGAAGGTGTGTATGGTGTCCCCTCTGAAGTTATGATGCCTGCATTAGACTTTTCAGTGCTTGTCATAATAAAAGGATACCACCGTCCATTCTAGACTCTTCTGGACTCCAGATCCTCAGTTATATAGTTCATTTCCAACAGTTGGTCACAAGAACTTGACGGTTCGTGTCACAGTCTCACCTCTCCATCCGTCTTTCATCTGTGTGTACCCCAAAGCCTTGGGTTCCCTGGCGTGCTCTGCAGTTCAGGTGGGGGCAGGGCAGGAAGCAGAACCAGCACACAGAAAGCAGCTGGAGTTCTTTCCTGGGTCCTGATGTTCTACCTTCAAAATGGATTCTCTGACTCCCCTTCTCCCACGCTTACTGAACTACCTGAGGGTTTTGATATTAGCAGTGCAAATGATACCCGTATAAAATAAGGAGGAGGCGCTCCCAGGAGCATCACTGAGCCACCTGGAAGGGCATTGTACAGAAAGAGCTCCCCACCCCACCCTGCAGTTTGAGAGCAGAGCCCCACTGGGGACGTGCCAACTGAGAACGTCCTCACTGTCACAGCATGCCACAGGAGTCCTGGCTGTGTCAGGGTCCTTCAGGAAGAGCCAGTGAAGTCATGCCCCACCCCCCATCTAACAGAAAATTGGTTTTCTTAGATTTTATTTCATTTTTAAAGATTTTATTATCTTATGTACAAATGTTTTGCCTGTGATTGTGTATGAGCACCACGTATGTGCCTGCTTGCTACCTAAAGAGATCAGAAGAGGGCATCCGATTCCTTGGTACTGGGGTTACAGACTGTTGTGAGCCTCCATGTGGGTGCTGGGAATTGAACCCAGGTCCTCTGCAAGAGCAGCCAGTTCCCTTAATGGCAACTCTCCAGGCCCCTGCCTTGTTAGATTTTTGACAGTCGTGGGCTGAGTCCCCATGGAAAAGAATGACAAGCGTGAAGAGAACTAAAAGGCCTTTTCTTCCCACATCTGGTCTGTTTCCTCTTGAAAGTATTCCAAACACTGAGAAGCACACCAACCACCAAGTTACTCCCTCCACGTCTCTGCCAGCCCGAGGTAGCGCTTTGGCGGTTGCTACTCCGAAGTGGAGGCAGGGAGATGCTTGAGCCTGGAGTTTGAGGGCAGCCTGGGCAACACAAGACTACATTTCAAAATAAAATTTTTATATATGAGAAAAGGTCAAAGCAGACGTTTTAAATATTCAATTTTGGAAGCTGGGCAGTGGTGGCTCATGCCTTTAATCCCAGCACTCAAGGAGGTGGAGGCAGGAGGATCTCTGTGAGTTAAAGGCCAGCCTGGTCTACAGAGCAAGTTCCAGGACAGCCAGGGGTACACAGAGAAACCCTGTCTTGAAAAAATGAAAATAAAAGAAAACAAAAAAATAATTCAATGTATGGGCTGGAAAGATGGCTCAGTAATGAAGAACACCCACATTAGGCAGCTTACCACCTGTAATTCTATCTTCACGGGCTCTCATGCCCTCTTCTGGCCTCCTGGGGCACTGCACTCACATGCACAACCCCCACCCCCACATGTGTGCATAATTAAAAATAAAATCTCAAAAAATGATTACTATTTCTTATGACAGGGTCCAACTTGCTATGTAGCCAAGGCTAACCTTGAACTCTTGATCCTTTTGCGCCCCCGCCATGTGCTGGGAGTATAGGTGCCAAGTTATGCTTTTTTATTTATTTTACATTATGATTATTATTATCATCATTATTATTATTTTGGTTTTTTGAGACAGGGTTTCTTTGTGTAGTTTTGGCACCTCTCCTGGATCTTGCTCTGTAGACCAGGCTGGCCTCGAACTCACAGAGATCCGCCTGGCTCTGCCTCTCGAATGCTGGGATTAAAGGCATGCGCCACCATCACCCAGCAATTTATGCTTTTTTTTAAATCAATTTAAAAAGTAATTAAGATATTTAAAAATAAGGCCAGATGTTTATATACTCCCTTATTTTTCTAATAAAATACCTCTGACTTCAAACAGCTCAGTTTTCATTGTAAGAAGAGTGATTTCCCAAGTGACACTTATCTGAACAGAGCACATGATGCCACAGTCACAATTCAGAAGCTATTGGGACACTGAGTGCAGACATCAGGGCTAAGGGAAAGGCACTCTTCTCTACCTTAGACTTCAGGGTCGATTCAATAATTAGTTTTATTTTGTTTTTATTTCTTTTAAACATCTATAATAGCATATTGGCTAATGTGAGTCATTCTTTCTTTGAGTACACTAGCTGTGAAAACACATCTTAGTCTGCCCCTCCCCCCAAAGGTTTGAGGGTCGGAAATGCAGGTGATTATCGGGACTGCCTTTGATACCAACATCCTTCTCTCCTGGGAGCCCTTTGAACTGACTTTGATATGCGATAATTAAGAGGGATTCCTGCCTGGAGGAGCCGCCGCCGCTGTGGCCCTGCCTCTGGTCTCCTTCCACCGAGTCCTTGTTTTGAACTATTGATCAAAGATTTGAGGGGATCTGTTGTAGCCTGTGTGGGGTAAAGAGGAAGGAAACAAGTGGGTTGTAAGGGAGAAGAGGGGCCACATCTGGGTATAAATAGTTTCGGAAAAGCATGCTGGTCAGACCCGGCCTGTCTCATTTAACACACAGCAGTCTTTGGGCAGATTCGCTTCTCTTTCAGAAAAGGCTGCTGCAGGCGACTTGCAGATTGCACGCAGGACCACTCAGCTCCGAGTTGGCAGCAGCCTGGCCTCAGAAGACGCAAGGAGTGCTGGGAACTCCGGAGAGACCCGAGTGCCTGAAGGATGGTACTGGTGGCCTTGCTTGGACTCAGCTGGTTCTGTTCACCCCTGGGAGCTCTGGTTCTGGATTTCAACAACATCAAGAGCTCCACTGATGTGCAAGGTGCTGGGAAGGTAAGTGCAGCCAGAGCGAGGCAACCCTGAGACCAACTGCAATGATAACATTGTATCAGGCAGGACACCCTCACCTCTATGTGAACTGATGCAGGACAGAGGTGGCAAGGAAACCCGTCGTTGACTATTAGTGCAGACCTGTAATCTCATCACTCGGGAGGCAGAGAATGCAGAATAGGGAGCTGAGAGTGAGCCAGAGGCCAACCTGGACTGCAGATGAGACCTCTCAAAAAGCCAGGGAACGCTGAAGGCAATAAAGGGGGTTTCGGGCCAGGGCTCTGAATTTGTCGACAAATCAGTGTATAATGAAGGCGGTACCGCGTGCTAGGCCTTGATGATCATTTGTCTTCCTCACAACCTGAGCTAGGCATAGCTTTCTATTCAGCAGCGAAGACAGGAGTTCGGACCGAGACTACACAGCACGTATGTAGGAGTTAGGACTTCAGCGCATCAGGACATGACACATTATTGTAATAATCTACTTGGCAGAATTGTTTTAGGGGTCACTATCATTTTTAGCATACTGTCCATTACACTGTATTATATGTGGTGTGTACACTGTACCTGTAACAAAGGACAGCTGGTGAAGAGTGGGTGTGTGACAAGGGGATCATCTGTCATATATCTGTCATCTGTAAGACACAGGAAACACTTGATTTTTCACAAAGAGCATGAGTATTACATTCTGGGTTTTGAAGTAAGACAGGATGGAGCATGGTTGGTTCATAACTGATTAAAGACAAGCTTTCAACACAAGCTTTGCAGCAACCAAGGTCTTCTCACAGGTAGTTTGATGTATTCTTTTGGGGAGAAAACCAATTACTCTGAAACACTAAGATGGGGCCCGAAGCTTGCCCCATCTCAACAGCCCCTCCCCACCCCTACCCCAGCCCTTGGGTTGGATAACGACCTCTTAGGTCTCATTGGGTTTGCCAGCCTGTGACCAGTTTTCCTTCACAGGGCTCCCAGTGTGCATCAGACAAGGACTGCAACGTAGGAAAATTCTGCTTCGAGCTGCACGATGACAAGTCATTCTGTGCCACATGCCGCCGAGTTCGAAGGAGGTGCCAGAGGAGTGCCATGTGCTGCCCAGGAACGGTCTGTGTGAATGGTGAGCAAACCTGGGCCTCCAAGCCGTGGGGGCTGCAATCTGAAGGCATCATTGGAGTCACATAGGCCAGGACAGTCCGTGGGAAGCAGGTCCTAGGGTGCTGTTGGATCTGGGTGAAGTAAATTTGTGCAGCTGACTTTTTTGATGAAACAACTTAATTTATTACCTGTCAACACCTTTTACCAGTGACATGAATGAAATGATTTCAAAGGACAGGTTCAAGGTAGACTGGTTTGAATCTTTCCATTTTCACTTGCATTTTATTAATCAATTATTTTATTTGCTGTATGTAAATATACATGTATGCTCACATACATGTGTGTATGATACATACAGTGTGTCAGAAATATAAAATATTGTGAAATGGAAGGTAGAGGTGCTACCAAATTAGCAATCCAGTAGCTGCATGCCTGTACTTCTGGGCCTCGGGTAGTAACACTAATTAAAGCTGGTTGTCTGTCCCTCAGATGTCTGCACTGCTGTGGAAGCCACAAGGCCAGTAATGGACAGAAACACTGAGGAGCAAGTTGGTACCTATGCAGAAGGAACCAGCAAATGGCCCACAGAGGAAAACAGACCTCAGGGGAAGCCCAGTGCTAAGAAATCGCAAAGCAGTAAGGGTAAGGCCATCATTCTGAGCCGATTTTATTTTAAAAACCATGTTCTCCCTCCCAGCCCCACAGGCTAAAACTAGCTTCCTTCTCCATCCCATACCTGTGCTCTTGGAACAACTCAAGAGACTCTGCTGGCCAGGACAGGGCAAGCCCCTAGTAATAGGTGCTTAGGAAGAAAACCTTCCAGTGTTCAATTACACACACACACACACACACACACACACACACACACACACACACACACACACACATTCACTATGCCAGGGGTATACCAAGTGCCACTTCCCATTTCTAGAGCCTCGGCATACAAAGTAGATGAAAATAAATACACTCACTCCAACCTTGTACACCATACAAAATGGATTGTTGTTGTTGTTTCAAGACAGGGCCTATGTAGCTCTGGCTGGTCTGGACCTCACTATGTAGAGGAGGCTGGCCTGGGACTCAGAGATCCAACAGTCTCTGCTGGGATTAAAGGGGTTTGCTACCACACTTGGTGATTTTTAAAAGTCTCAAATTCCAGTCTTTGAGATAACAGACTATCGGAAAGTGACGTGGTAAAGTGGCTTTTCCTGCTCTTGCCATTGGGTTGGCTGTTCCCTGTGTAAGAAAAGGATTCCATGTTCACCAAAAATTACATTAGCAAAGCTTTGTGGAGTGCTGCTTGTTTCTCAGACCTGGAAATCCCTTCTTGGTGCCTTGATTTTAATAACACAAATAATAACAATAGTAACTATTTTTACTATTATTCTAGGCAGGGCTAGAATTTCCCCTCATTGTGTGAGACCCATGGGTCCTGTTGGCTGTTGCTATTCTTAGCCTTCATTCCTAGATCCCCAAACTCACGCCACTAGAACAACACGCACCCCTTAACCCATCTGCCGCCATGAGCAATGCCGCCCATTCAGCACTAAAACCCGTGTCTAACCCGTTTCAGGCCAGGAGGGAGAAAGCTGTCTGAGAACTTCCGACTGTGGCCCGGGACTTTGCTGTGCTCGACATTTTTGGACAAAAATCTGCAAGCCAGTTCTCCTAGAGGGACAAGTCTGCTCCAGGAGAGGGTATAAAGACACTGCCCAAGCCCCGGAAATCTTCCAGCGCTGCGACTGTGGTCCTGGACTGTCGTGTCGAAGTCAGGCGACTGGTAACCGGCAACAGACGAGGCTGAGAGTGTGCCAAAGAGTATGAGTTGTGAAAACATGGGACTCCTCGTGCTCACGCGGCAAGACACTAATTTTATTATTGTTATTTTTTATTTTGTTTTTTTTCAGACAGGGCTTCACTGTGTAGCCCTGGCTGAGCTGGAACTTGTTGTCAGCCTGGCTGGCCTTGAACTCATAGAGATCCGCCTGCCTCCACCTCCTGGATACTTTTTGGGGTAGGGGGAGGAGTTTTGAGACAGGGTCTCAAAGTAAGCTATATAGCCCAGGCTGGCCTCAAACTCACGATCCTCTTACGCTCCAGGATTGGGATTACAGACGAGCACCACCACACCCAGCATATATATAACACTAAATCATGCAACTGAAACACACAGCCACCAGAGCACTAGGGGGCGCTACACTGTGAACTACTTCTGGCTTTTCCCTCCTGTCTAGAATACTGACATGATTCTATAATAAAACAATTCTGATACAGCCAATCAATCTATTCAAATAAATCTTTTTTAAAAATTGAAATTGTATGTGGGTATACAATGTACAACATCATCTTCTGATATACAGTAACTGCTTACCAGACAAACTAGTGAATGTGCCCATCCCCATAGTCACGAGTCACTTCAGGTGCAGGGCTGCTACTTCCGAGATGAAGCCCACACCTAGTCTTCCGGTTACCAGCGCATACTGCACACAGAAAACGGGCCAAAGAAAAAGGTTCACCGATGCAGGCCCCTTGCTTCTCTCTCTTTTTTAGACAGGGTCTCACCATTGTAGCTCTGGTGTCCTGGAACTCACTCTGTAGACCGGGCTGGTTTTGAACTCAGAGAACTGCCCATCTCTGCCTCTCGAGTGCTGGGATAAGGGCATGTGCCGTCACGCCTGGCAGCCCCCAGTTTCCTGAGGATACTGAACCAGCTTCCAGAGGCAGCCCCTGGGAAAGCCAAGTGACTTGTAGAGAGTAAATGAGACAGTAGAGGAGAACATGGTTGCAATGTAAGGCAGAAATAAAAATCCCACTGAACATTTCCTATCACCTCGGCTCTTACTTTCCTCTACTAAGCCATGGTAAGCTGTGCGCATAAACATAACATTAAATTTAAGCACGCTTGCTTTTAAGAAAATCAGGATCCTACAATAGCTCAAGAAGTTTATTGATTACAGTACATGGTAAGCACAGAGAGGAAGCAATCACTTAAAAACACCAGAACCCTTACATAGCAAAGGTTAAGAAATAAATTAGGACTCCTAGTGGAATATGCCGGGCTGGGGGGAGGGGTTGGCATCATTCACTTCTATCCTTGGGCTCCCGGTAGCGCCACTGGATGTAATCAAAAATGTCCTGCTCGCTGTCCACTGGAAGGGGCTCCCCAGCAACTCCTGCAGGTAGGAAAAAAGAAAGAAGAACTAGTGTGAGAAGTTGGTTACCGCAGACTGGGAGTTCACCTGCCCTGCGGGGCTCTTCCAGGGGTACAGGCTGACTCAGCATGAACAAGTCTCCATTTCCAGCACGGGGAAAGTAACTAAGGCACTTGGAAGAAGTTCCTGCCGGCTGCCTCCACTTTCTGACATGGGCCTGCATGCTGCATGCATGTTCTGTCACATGTTACCAGTGCTAACGGAGACCGGGTATCCTGGCAGTTGCCAGGAAAGCCACCCTAGTTCATGATTTCCTTTTTGTCTCGATCTCTATTGTACCCTCATACAATAGTCTTGAGGTTTTTTTTTTTTGGTTGTTGTTTTTTGTTTTTTTCCAACTCAGGCTCTGGTTCTTAAGCTAGCAGTAATGGCATCACTTAGAAGTTTACCAGAATTATGGACTCCTGAAGCAGGTGTCTCCAAAATTAAACCAATGAAATGAAATTCACATGCTTGAGTGCCCATGAAATAGATCTCACATCTAATGAGGACCTAAGTGAACTGCATTCATGTTTAAATTTGAAAAGCAATGCTCCAGTCTACATGAGATAGAAGCCCTGCTTTATGTAACATTAGGACAAAATGGTAAAACTTCATTCTCCCAGTTGACACTGTTAGTCAACCACACAGTAGACTGTGACATGTTAAACAGGATCTACAGAGATTAATCAATCCTGATTTTAAAAACCATTATATTCACTTACTAATTTTGTGTGTGTGGTATAAACATGTGTATGTCTACATGTGGGTATGCATATGCCTCAGGGGGCACGTGTGGAAGATAATGGACTTCAGGAGTCCGTTCTCCTTCCACCACGTGGGTCCCAGGAACCAACACAGGCTTTGGGAAGGGCTCACCTGCCGAGTCATCTCACCTACTCTTTAAATCGTAAAGCATGAGGTGAAAATCATTACCTAGGAACTATTCTGTAATTTTTTTGTTTTATTCTCCCCTGTGGGGGTTGGGGTGGTGGAGATGGCACCTAGGTCCTTATTACATGCTAAGACCATGCTCTATTAACTGCCATAGTCTCAGTCAGCAGTTTTCAGTGATCCTAAGAGAAGAACTTGGGAAGTTCTTCACAAGTCTCAGAGATATACCAAAATAAGACCTTTTAGATCAGTAAGATATTTTAATGAGCATCCTAAGTAGCTAAGAAGGATTAATCCTTTTCCTCCTGCTTTGCCGGGGTCAAACCCTGGGCCTCATGTATGCGGGGCAAGCACTGTCCCAGCTACGCTGTGTCTGTTCTAACAGAGCTGCAAATTACTTTTGCCTTATTCACCATCAACTGAGGCCTTAAAAGTATCTTTTATTTCCTGTGGGATAAAAACATAAAGGATCACTAAAAGTCTTCTTAGAAAACTCTGTTTATTATCTTAAAATACCTCATTTTTGAGAGGGGGGCTCACATAGCCTAGACTGCCCTCAGACTTGCTGAGTAGCCACGGCTGATCCAACCCTCCAGACCCCCAAGCCTGGGATTACAGGCACAATGGCATATGCTTACAATCCCAGCTAAAACATCTTTGGAAATAACTGTCTCTCTGGATGAAAGAATTATTGCTAAGGCAGTCACAGACACTCACCAGTAACCCCCAAGGGGCGGATGGTGTATTCGTTGATTGTGAAGCCCTTTTCTAGGGCGTGAGCTCTCATATTCTTATTAAAGATGTCACTCCCGGTGAAGTAGAGAACACCACAGTAATACTGATCTTTGGGGATCAACCTTAGAAGGGAAAATTGTTTTTTAACCACATATTTCAGGTTTAGCAAATACAGGTTCTCTAAAATCAGTAAGATCAGCAAACCTACAGTAAGTCTATGTGGTCCCATAACCTAAGAAAAGCAGGTCGTTAGGCTGATGGCTGACGACCGTCTCATGACCCAGGCTTGCAGCTGGTCACTACGGCTGCTGCAAGCTGCTCTTCCTTCCCATGGACCCACACGGCACCTACAACCAAGACCGCCTTCGTCGTGTGCGTTCTGCTCTGCTCTCACCCTTGTCCCTAACCTCTCGAGTCACTTGGGGTTCCAGAATGGGGGATCCTCAAATAGCGCAGGTCCTCCTTCTGACAAGGGCATTTACTCTCGAGGCTGCGGCTACACTCGGGAGCAGAAATGACCATCTCTCAAGAACACATGGACCGGTTTGCAGGACCAGCGCAGACAGTGACGGATCTAGGGCCACACCCTTTCCAGACTGCTTACTGTGCATGCCTCGCCTCCCTTAGTCCCTGCTCGAATTCTTCCCCCATTTTGGGCCGGGATGTCGGCAGCTTGTATCGGTCCTTCCCAGAGCAGACACGTGGAACCCATCTCTCCGAGCTTCTCACCATTACTTGTCTTTATCTGACATATGAGGACAGGCAGCTGAGTCCAGGCTGCCAGAGCCTGGGCTTTTACCTCCAAACTCCAGCTACACACCCACTAAGTAATAAAGGTGTGTATGAATGAACAGCAGCATCTACTCATTACAGCACAGGAGACCACTTCAGCTATGGCCAGTGTTCTGCTGAGGGGCAAATCTGGAGAAAATGACATCCGGGGATGTTCCCCATTCTGGACACAGTTCAGCCAACACTGTATTTCATAGAAATTTATCATCCCTTAATAAAGGTGGCTCTACCTACGCACATAACCTTAAGTAGATGAGTGAAAAGGATCCAACAAACACAATCCGAATCATACCTGATGTCAATTCTTCTGTGTGGATATTCCTTTCCATCACTTTTGCTGGGAAGCTGGCAAACACCCTACATGGAGATTTCGAAGAAAATTTAGACAACATAAACGTGAACATGGAGCAGCAGTCCTGGGGTCCTGAGCACTTTGATCATAGCGGCATCTCTGAGGTCTGCATGGAGACCAGGCTGCGTCTTGTGCAGTCACTGGCTGCACTAGGCTGTGTGGGGCAGTGGCTTTCAGACTGCCGTGCCCTGGGTGACTCCATCTTAGAAGTAGCATTTGGCTCCACTCTGGGTACAAATGCAGAGGCAGCACAACTGTACTCCCTTGGGCACCGAGAGGCTGCCCCCATGCCCAGCACCACCCATGAGGCACAGACTCACTCCTACAGGTGAGAAAGTCTCACTTGTAAACCCACCAAGAAGACTGGAAACATATGGGCACATGGATTATGAAAACTATGCCAGGAATCCAGGCCTGAAGCGTCAATCAACCAGAGTCCCGCTGACTTGTTGCGTCACTACTGGGCACTTGTCAAAGGACGGACTCCACTGCTTGATGTGACATTCCCATTGTCTCCGATGTGTTCACCTGCCGGTCCCTCCCTCCACACCCAGTCCTGGGCCCTGCCCTGGGTGTCCTGGTACTTCTGGAGCTCGGCCTGACCCCATGGCTACTCAGTTCTGTCCACTCCCGGCATCTCTCTAGGTAGCTTTGTTAGCATTTCATTTAACCAGCAGGGGACCGAAACTGCGAGGTGAACTGCAGCCCGTGAGAAGCCTCTCTGTGGTTTGTAAACATTATTATTAGTCAGTGAATTTGGACACTGTAGAAAGACATGTTTCTGACACGTTGTGCCCACGGCGGGATGTACGACCTTAACCTTCTCACTGTATTCAGAATAACTAACGAACCACAGGGAGGGCCAACGAGGATTCTGCTTGTAGGAGTTAGTTAGCCTTTGCAGGTTCTAAACTAGAGATTAGTCAAGGAAAGTACCAAGCATGAAAGACGAGGCCAAAACAAACAGGAAAAAGCAACCGCAATAAAATAATGACTATGCACAAAGCAAACAAATTGAGAAAGCTGCCAGTAATATTCACGAACAACAGAAGATTACCTGATTCATAAGGCAAGCAGAATATTACAGACGAAGACTAGTCAAGGAAAGTTTAAATATGATATAGAAGAGTTTGGAGAAATCTTAGAGAAAAATCAAAGATAATAAAAATTAAAAGACAAGATTATTGGATCATCTTTCTTCTCTACACTTGAGTTTTCATTATACTTTTAGAGGTTTTTTTTTTTTAGATTTTTATTTTTAACCATGCACATGTGGGAAGGGCCTCAGGTCCGGGGATTACTCGCAGAGGACAGTTTTGAGCTCTAGAGCTACAGACTCGACAAAGGTAATG